CGCCAAATTGGTCGAAATTGGAAAATTTATAGAGAAAATCAGGAGATGCTAACACCACGTAACGGCGACGTTCCCACTTATTTTACACAAGTTTTTGACCGAGCTTCAACGTCTGTTCTCTGTGCATGAACTATGATAAATCAGTGCGATTACATTTGCAAATATCACCATTTTAGCGGCCCTCGCCATAGAGCGAACTCTCATTTAATGGATATTAATGTCATCTAATACAATTTATCGACAATTTAAATCTTGGTATACAAATCGAGATGAATGTCTGGGAACGATAAAAATATATTTGAGCTCAGAAAACGAAGCTCGTTCAGATGATGTACAAAAATTTGTTTGTTTTTCGAAACTATACAACCCAATTCCATGTTTTCCACACGAAACGAAAATTAATGGCACTACACTAATAGCATTCCATGCCGGCGCCCGTGGTGTAGTGGTAAGAGTGACTGCTTTCTAATACCCCAATGGGTCTGGGTTCAATCCCAGCCGAGGTCGGTGGGATTTTTCTGAGGCATAAAAATCTCTGGTCACGTCTTCCTTCGGAAGGGAAGTAAAGCCGTTGGTCCCGGCCCATGTACACGCAGAAAAAAATATTTTAAACGTAATAATATTTGACGTAAATTTAATAAGAATTTCATTTTGTTTTGGCTGCAAAATGAAATCATTATTATTTCAACAATCCAGTATCTTTGTTTTTAAAAACCCATGGATTGTTAAATCAAAAAGAAAATCTTTTTGAATTTACAAGAGCTTTTATGGTTTTGACGTAAGCTGTCAAATTTGGCAGCTGGGTCAACAAAAAATATGTTTGTTTTTAAAAGAGATTTCTTGTTGATTCAATCATATTTATTTTATTAAGCCTAAAAATATACGCAGTAGAAATAAAAATATGTTTATTGATTCAGTTTTTAATAATTTGCGATTATTTTTATGTTTTGTTTTCTATTTGTTACCAACAGAATTACAATTAAATTAAAAAAAAAAAACTTTCTGAGGCATAAAATCTCTCCGGTTCATGAGCTAATGGGTCGATAGGTAGGGTCCAGGTGTGGGAGCGGCCTTCCTGGCGTTGGGAGCATTGGTACTCAGTACTGAAAATAAGATCGACGGAAAAAATCAAGGAAAAAAAGAAAAACTGCTTATTTTTTGCAACAGCAGAATACTTACTTACCTCTAGAGCTGAATCAAACGAGATTTTTTTTGTTATTGTTTACATTTTTGTCCGGGTTTTCACGAGGGAATGGTTGGTAGTTATTTTTGCATTCATGGCCCGGGGAATTGACACAACAAATAAATGTTAAATTAAAATTAACTATTGTTGGCTTGATAAAAGAATATTGTTATTTTTACAATAGTTGCAGTGGAAGAGTGGCTTATGAAAACAAAAAGAATCTTATTTTGAATTTATTTGAATAAATATTATCGAAACAATAAAATGCAATATAATTTCAACCGGAATTGTTTGTGTAAATACAAATAAAGTTTTTTTTTGGTTCAATGCAAACAATTTTCTGTCCGTGTATGTTGAATGGGTGCGATCTTCCTACGCAGGTGTGGAAGCTGCCTTCCTGCACATTCGATTGCCGTCAATGGATGGCAATCGATGTCCGTTGGTGATTGGCACTAGATTGCGGAACAGAGACCGACGTTAAATAAAGGAAAGAAGAATAATAGAATTCCACACATTTTTATTGAAGAATTCCCATGTAAAATTCCACATGATTTACATGTAACCACACATAAACAGAATTCACCCAGAAGCACACATGAAATTTATGAGTCAAATGAATAGTATGCGTGGTTACACATGGCTTTTATGTGTGCACATATTCAGTATGTGTCCGACACATAGATATAATTTGTATTGCAAAAGTAGGACATATAGAAACAATCTTTGAAATTTTATCAGTGTACAGGAATCCCCATCAAGACCCGTATGCGGTTTCCCCATCGGGACCCGTATTCGGTTTTCCCATCGGGATCCGTCTACGGAATCCCCATCAAGACCCGTATTCGGTTTCCCCATCGGGATCCGTATTCGGTTTCCCCATCGGGATCCGTCTACGGAATCCCCATCAAGACCCGTATTCGGTTTCCCTATCAAGACCCGTATTCGGTTTCCCCATCGGGATACGTATTCGGTTTCCCCATCGGGATCCGTCTACGGTATCCCAATCGGAATCCGTATTCGGTTTCCCCATCGGGATCCGTCTACGGAATCCCCATCAAGACCCGTATTCGGTTTCCCTATCAAGACCCGTATTCGGTTTCCCCATCGGGATACGTATTCGGTTTCCCCATCGGGATCCGTCTACGGTATCCCAATCGGAATCCGTATTCGGTTTCCCCATCGGGATCCGTCTACGGAATCCCCATCAAGACCCGTATTCGGTTTCCCTATCAAGACCCGTATTCAGTTTCCCCATCAAGATCCGTATTCGGTTTCCACCTACGGAACCCGTCATCGGGATCCGTAGCTTTTAGTATTTATTTATTCGTCAATCAAAACAAATAAACAGTAAACACACTCACTAACCTGCAAAGAGAACTTCGAACTCCCCGCCGGGATCCAGCTTCGGACTCGCTACCGGTATGTGGCTCCGGACTGGTGCACTTTCCTAAAAAAAAACATAATTACATTACATTAATTCACCTCAAATACAGCCCACATACCTGAAAAACAACCTTCCTTTTCCTAGGGTGAGACCAGCAGCCAGCAAGCGGAAAACTTGCTGATTAACCGCAACGTCGGACACCGAATCGCCACCAAAACTCGCGACGGACACAACGGCACTTTCCCGGACTAATTCGATCGAAATCGATCTTTTAACACCGCGAAAAAAAACTGTACACGGCCAATGTGATCAACCCAAATTTGAATACAGTGTACTCAAAATCGGAAAAAGTGCAGGAACGCAGCGATGAGTAAATTTGCCTCATGTTTTCCTGTGGAAAACCTCAAAAATCTTACGGAAAATTAGGATTGACGAAAATCCACAGAATCCAATCTTTACTTTTCTAATATTCGGTCAAATTTTCCTGGAAAAACCTGGAAATCCTGGAAAAAACAGAGGGAAATTAACTCAAAACTGAGTTCCTGTAATTTTTGCGATTTATGAGTGAACTAAACTCAAATTTGGGTCATTCTCATTCGCCATGTAGTGCTGACTCAGGACAAAACAAACTTTGCATGGGGCGAGGGCCTCAGGGACTCTAGTTTTCTTTTTGCGATTCAGTTAATAAACGCCAAATAACGCGAGTCATTGACAGGTCAACATCAGTGGTTTGTAATGGAACGTCCATCTGACACCTACATCCTGAATAATTTTGGTATACGCTAATGCAGCAGCGATATATAGAGCTTTACTTCAAAATGAGAACGACATTGACCTTTCTGTCGTTCAAAACACGCACACTTGCGCAATCCCATTTTCAAGTGCGAAGTTTGTTGTCCTCACTTTCGCTTCAGCCAGATATGCTGGTTTGTTATTGTTATCCTCACATTCGGACCATCAATACTCGAGCGCATAGAATGGACCGAGGAATGGACTATAACCAGATGCATGCAGGGTGGCCAGATGATTTTCTTCGTTTGCCTTGGAATTAATATTATCGTTTCAAATGAAAACCTCGTTGAAAACGTTCTGTATATACGTTAAACATAACGTCGGACATAGTGTGCTGTATTTGTACACGGATGCGGTATACAGCACACTATGGCCAACGTTATGTTTAACGTACAGAACAAAAGTAAAATCGGTTTTCAATTGAAACGATAATAATCAATTAAAACACTAATTAACTCTTGCACTGCAACGTCACCAGGGCATTTGTTTTACTTACAAATAAACATTGCCCACAGGACATGCCAAAATTTCTTTCAGTGATTTGAGGCTATGTCAGTCGTGCAAGAGTTAATGGTGGTAAGCTCTACCTTGTAATCGCAATGTGCTATTTTATATGATTGCGTCGAGGATTGCGATTTGGGCACATTTATGAGATTATGAATGCGGAAACACTAATAAAAGTGCGGTTTTACGTTAAATTGTTGTTGTGTCTTCATCGCACTTATTCCTTGGTGAATGAAGAATAAGTGCGCTGAAGGCGTCAAGACGATACAACGTCTAAGTGCACTTTTATTAGCGTTTCCACTCTTCTAAAGAGTTCAATTTTATTTGCAATTGATAATGTCACAAAACTATGCATAGGAGGCATCACTGCACTGCAAGCCACTTTTTATTGTTGTGTCATAGGATGTATTCTAATGTTTTATGCGTGCAACAAATTACATCGTGATGAAGTTTGATTCTAATGTAACGTTAGGTTCTGTTGTCATTGGATGTATTCTGATGTTTTATTCGTGCAACAAATTACATCGTGATGATGTTTGATTCTTATGTAACGTTAGGTTCTGTTGTCATTGGATGTATTCTGATGTTTTATGCGTGCAACAAATTACATCGTTATGAAGTTTGATTCTAATGTAACGTTAGGTTCTGTTGTCATTGGATGTATTCTGATGTTTTATTCGTGCAACAAATTACATCGTGATGAAGTTTGATTCTTATGTAACGTTAGGTTCTGTTGTCATTGGATGTATTCTGATGTTTTATGCGTGCAACAAATTACATCGTGATGAAGTTTGATTCTAATGTAACGTTAGGTTCTGTTGTTATTGGATGTATTCTGATGTCAAATTTTACATCGTCAAGACGTTTGATTCTGATGTAACGTTAGAGGCTAATGTATTTTTATGTACTTGGACGTCACACTGAAGTCTGAATACATTAAGGGTACAGCAATATACGTTAAAATTTAATGTATTGAAGATGTCTGCTGATGTTTTCTACATTACAATTTCTATTCGGGCTAGTTCAGTTTATCGTGTGCCAGATAACGTCAAGATTTACTACAATTGCCGCAACGAACTGTCTACCCAGGACGGTTTGATCCGAGGTTTGATCTTTAGGAACGACCGCTTACTAATACCGTATGTTCTCCGGAGAAAGCTTGTGGATTGCTGTCATATCAGTCACAATGGTGTGGAGGCTACACTGAAGTTAGCAAGAGCGAATTTGTTCTGGCCAGGAATGAGTTCGCAGATCAAGGATGTCGTCAAGGAATCTGCAATTTGTGCTAAATTTGCTGCATCTCAACCGAATCCGCCAATGCAAAGCCATAAGATTCCAGTGTACCCTTTCCAGATGGTTTCGATGGATGTGTTTTTTGCTGATTACCATGGTCTAAAACGGAATTTTTTAGTTTTAGTTTTTTTTAAACAGTGGACCATTACGCGGATTTTTACGAGATCAACTTGTTAAAGGATCTGACGCCAGAATCTGTGGTAGCTGCATGTAAGGAAAACTTCGCGCGTCACGGAATTCCACAACTAGTAGTGACGGACAATGGTACAAACTTCGTGAATCAAAAGATTGTGAAGTTTGCCGGCGAATGGAGTTTTGATCACGTCACGTCTGCACCTCATCATCAGCAAGCCAATGGGAAGTCGGAGGCTGCCGTGAAGATAGCTAAAAGGTTGATGAAGAAGGCTGAAGAAAGCGGATCAGATTTTTGGTACGCTCTGTTGCATTGGCGCAATATTCCCAACAAGATTGGATCCAGTCCAGCAGCTCGTTTGTTTTCCCGTTCAACACGATGTGGTGTACCGATAAGTGCAACAAACTTGCAACCAAAGGTAGTGGAGAATGTCCCATCTGCAATCGAAGAAAATCGTAAGCGAAATAAGTATCACTATGACAAGAAATCAAGATCGTTACCTGAACTACAAACTGGATCACCGGTTTACGTTCAACTCCATCCAGAGACTTCGAAGCTTTGGACTCCTGGAACTGTTTCTGATCGATTGAACGAAAGATCCTACATGGTCAACGTGGACGGAGCCGAGTATCGTAGAAGTCTTGTCCATTTGAAGCCGCGTAAGGAACCCGCTACGCAGCACGACCGTTTATCGCCATCCAATATTTCGAGTCAACCGACAGAATTTTCAACTTCAACCAGTGGAACCGAAAAGAAAGCACAGACTTGTCAAACAATGCCACAAACCACTGGAAAAACATCGCATGCTGCGATGTCCATGTTGCAACAGCATAGGGCTCAGCAAAGTGCGTCAACATCAATGACTGATGGAAACACGGACGTCTCAACTGAGAAATGTACAACAAGAATGAATCGTCCACAACGTGAGAAATAACGGCGCCGGTGGTGTAGTGGTAAGCGTGATTACCTCTCACCCCAGCAGGCCTGGGTTCAATCCCAGTCGGCGCCGCCGGGATGTTCTGAGGCATAACATCTCTGATCACGCCTTCCTTCGGATGGGAAGTAAAGCCGTTGGTCCCCGGTTCATGAGTTGATGGGTCAATAGGTAGGGTCCAGGTGTGGGAGCTGCCTTCCTGGCACGTCGGTAGCATTGGTTCTCAGCACGGAAAACAAGATCGACGGAAAAAACAAACCAAAGGAAAAAAAAAAAACAACGTGAGAAACGACTACCGGAGAAATTTAAAGATTTTTGCCTTAAGTAAATATAAACATCTTTTCTCAGAGTAGGGAGGATGTTGTAGTATTTGTTATCCCCCTCTTTCGGTACACAAATATCTACCTACACATTCACACCTCTTGGTGCACTCTCTTTGTCATTGTTTCATTTTCCATTCATTCACGAGTGCGCAGTCAACGCGGTAGTTTATAATGTGAATATTATGGTTGTTAATAAAGATAAGTAAAAAGTTAGTTACGCGTTTTATTAACACCAAAACACAAGTTTTTAGACCAGCCATGCTTTATGCTATGCTAATATGGTCTAGTTGTTGCACTACCAGGAAAAAAGCACTTCAAAGTTCTGAAGATGATTTTGAAGTTGCCTCCCTGGTACAGTACTACCGAGGTACAAAGAATTTCTAATGTTGAGACTTTTGAACAAATGTCCAGCAAAATAATTAATAAATTCAGGCAAAAATCGTTGCAATCTTCAATTGAAACGATTAATTCCCTTTATACTTAGATAAGATTAAGTTTTACTTTTAAAACGTAAATTGTTATACTGACGTGCAGGTTTAAACAAAACCTGTTTATATCACGGATAGAAATCTCCTTATACCTTATGGCAAATTTCTATTGCTTTTTATTCATAAAATGT